CACACCCCTCCTACATTCCTCACCCACGCCCCTCCCACATTCCTCACCCACACCCCTCCCACATTCCTCACACACACCCCTCCTACATTCCTCACCCACGCCCCTCCCACATTCCTCACCCACACCCCTCCCACATTCCTCACACACACCCCTCCTACATTCCTCACCCACGCCCCTCCCACATTCCTCACTCACACCCCTCCCACATTCCTCGCTCACACCCCTCCCACATTCCTCACCCACGCCCCTCCCACTTCCCATACCCACACCCCTCCCACTTTTCTCACCCACACCTCCCCACTTCCCTCACACACAACCCTCCCACTTATCTTATCTCACCAACACCCCTCGCACATACCTCCCCCACACCCCTCCCACTTTTCTCACCCACACCTCCCCACTTCCCTCACACACAACCCTCCCACTTATCTTATCTCACCAACACCCCTCGCACATTCCTCCCACACACCCTTCCCACTTCCCTCACACACACCCCTCCCACTTCCCTCACCCACAACCCTCCCACTTATCTTATCTCACCAACACCCCACATTCCTCCCACACACCCCTCACACTTCCCTCACACACACCCCTCCCACTTCCCTCACACACACACCCCTCCCACATTCCTTACACACACCCCTCGTACTTCCCATACATACCAACACCCCTCCCACTTATCTCTCCCACATCTCCCCACTTCCCTCACCTACACCCCTCCCTCTTATCTCACCCACACCCCTCCCACTTATCTTATCTCACTGACACCCCTCCCACTTCCCTCACACACACCATCCCACTCCCCCCCCCCCTTTACCCAAACCCACCAACTTTTCCTCTCTCCTCCAACCCTCGCACTTACCTCACTCACAACCCTCCCACTTCCCTTACACACACCCTGACCTGTCTCACCCACATGCTTAATCCCCTTCCCTCACGTACTCTCGCATTCTGACATTAGCTTTTGAAAAAGGACGTGTCCTAACGCAATTGTTGTCTCCGCATGCACATTTATTCACGACAGTGTCGACGCATAACACGGGTTCGAGTTTAACTCCCCTCCCCTCCG